TACATACATACATACATACATACATACATACATACATACATACATACATACATATACATATATATATATATATATACATATATATATATATATACATATATATATAAGTCGATTTAAGTGGGAAAACCTAATTTCATCTTATTTAGTAAAGGGTGATGAAGAGCTAATTGTTCAATTCTTACACATTTTCCCATTTCACAGTTCTGTGGTGGGATTGTCGACGAAGCTATGTTGTATGTGCTGTAGCAAGCGACTATGAGAGGCCTACTCATTTGATTTTGCAAAATGCAACTATCGCTCCTTCATCGCCTTGAATGAAATGGGATGACTACAGTGCTTGTAACAGATCGACTGATAGTCTCTAAGACTTAGTTGGAAACGGAAGATACAAGTTTGCCTTATGGGCAATTCCACTTTTAAGATGTGCTATGCAAGAGTCTTTGCCTTGCTTGAAATCCATATGAACCAGCGGTTGTCGTGGCAGTATATCGTAGTGGTAGCATGTCAAGAATATACGCCAACTATAGAAACCTTGCTTCGAGTCTCGCTGGAAGGGATAATGAGACCATTTCAGACGAGCTAGAAACTGCAGTCCAGTTCAGTCAAGTCGAGATGAGACTACTTTATCGAAGGCTCGTGTGAGTATGAAAATGTCGACTTCCAGTTCTTCCTGTTTACAACTTTTATTTGAGTTTTAATGACAGTTTCGGTATCTACTTATATTGGATATAAGTAATATGGTGACAAGAATATAAATTCTAGGTGGGTGTCGGCAGTTAGGCAGGGATTCTAACTCGCTGGGCGAATCAACAGTCGCCAGTTGTAGCGTACCCGCCTGGCGACTGCAGAGGCAACTGACTCATGCGATGCTACAAGTCAAAGATAGACTGCGAGTTTCACCGCAGAAAGTGGGCAAATTCGGGCTAGAAAAGTGGCTGGCATCACAACCGATCGCCGAAATTGGCTTCCAAAAGATGGCTTCCTCGCCTTCGGACGGTGTCTTTCGGGGTGGAACAGACGTGAGGTCAGTTGAAACGATCGATTGAGACTGGATGACGATGCAAAGGTGACTTTTTGTCAAAATGCAGCAGTACCAATTTGGAAGCCAATTGATGAAACCATTCCAGACACCATTTCCAGCGAAATGAATGCAACCACAACAAATCAATCAACTGCAGGGTGAAGCAAATCTGGGTTGCGAGGAGTCTCTTGCTTTGTCATGTGTGTGTGTGTGTGGTGAAGAGATTCGAGACTCGATCTCACCAGAGAACAAATTCATATTCCTTTTTATCATCCATCGGTTGGATTTACTGGAACCAACAAGCATGAATGAAAGCTACATGTCGAATATGGCTTTCGGTTAATCCA